CAGGGAGCCTCGCCGGGCTGCGGCGATGTCAGCCCTGCCTGAGTCCCGCTCGCACTGGCTTCCAGGAGTGGAGGCGCCGGGAGCAGCACAAGCCTCACTGCCTGCCTGGCCTGAGCTCCCTGCTCCTCCATCGCTGGCCCTGGTGGACCCCCACCTCCCCCGGGGCAGGCAGTCAGCCACCGGGGAAATCAGGAGGGCTGGAAAGACAGCGGCAGGGACAGGTGCAAGGGGCTCTCGGTGGTCGTCCTGTCCCCTTGTTCTCCTGCTGGGCGATGGAGGGGCGCTGGACTGGCTTCCAGGAGGTGACAGGGTGCAATTGCTGGTATTCACAGCCCAGGCCAGGAAAGTGCGTGCCCTTAGCTTGTGCAGGAGCTAGCTGAAAGCATGCACTCTGGATACACACTGGGCTGGGGGACCACGTAGTGCGAGGGCTCAGACTGGATCTTCTTGTCTTGCCTTCTCAATCTCCTCCATGCAATAGGGAAAATGTCACTGGGGGGGGCGGGTTGCAAATCATGTGTCATCTTCCTGGAAAGCCTTAGGGGCTGGAGGAGCCGACTCTTGTGAGGAGGCAAGGGTGAGGAATGTAGCATCTTGTCTTGGAAGGAGACAGCAACAGACTAGGACAAGACAGAAATGTGCTTACTCTCTTTGAGATGGTGGTGCCAGCTGATACGGTGTGGTTGCAAGTCTCGCAACAGCTGGCGGTACTCCTAAATCCCCAGCTCGCAGTCTGGTGATTGCAGGGGAATGTCAGGTTTCCTTTTTCATATAAAATAGGTGCTTGGACTTCAGGGTAACGGGGCAATTCTGACAAGCTTGAAATCCAGAAAGACGCTGGATTAGTAGTAGTACTACTAGTAGCAGTAATCTTATAAACTCCCACGCTAAATTAATTTCAGGCCAATCTTGTGGGCATCTTCATAAATGCAGTTTGCTCTTAGTGTTAGCCATGCTGTGTGCAGCATCCTTGCTTACGCCCAGGGGACCTGCCCTGGGGGCAGGCAGTGCACAGTTCTGCCCTGCCTCCCAATTGCAGAGAGTGGGGCTGAAAGTGCGCCAACCCTGAGCTACTTACACTAATTGAAATGGAGCCCACCCGGGAGAAGACTCATCCATTTCCCCTCTCTGCTGTCAGCACCCTGTCTGGCAGCTGGCTCCTGATCCCTCCTCCTCTGCTTCCCTGTCACTGCCACCCTTGAGGCCTATCGCTTGCTTGCTGGGTGGGTGTACACCCCATCCCAGCTCCTGAAATGTTAATGTCTGGGACCCTACAAGAGGCTAACTCAAGATGTCCGTGACTCAGGAAGCCAAGGGTTCAGGGCTGCTATATTGGGCAAAGGGGTCCTGCTCCTTTGAGGGAACAAAGGGGACCAACAATGCAGCCATTAAGCAGCTCCCAGGCTTCTTGTCCCTGGCTGGGCCGGAGGTCGTTCCCGTGGTTACGTGGACTATGGGCGCCTTGTTTCCCGCTGGGGATTTCCATAAAAAACAAATGAAAAATAGGAACCTAAAAGGACTGTCATGGCAACTGGGAAGTGGAAGCCCCCACACCCCTTCCTTCCCACCCTGTGCCCACTCTGGGACAGGGCATCCTTCTGGGGCAAAGGAAGCAGGAAAACCCTGGGGGAGCGAGTGAGCAGGCCTCTCTTAGGCTGGGAAGCCCATGGGAGAGTAAGGAGTGTGCAGGGGCTCAGGAAGGATAAGCAGGGGTATAGGGCAGGAACTCGTATAGGTCTCTTTGGGGTTGGGGGCAGAGCAGTGCTGGATTAGGGGGTCCAGGGCATACATGGAAATCTGGCCAGGCCTGAGAGCTCCTCCACACCCTCACAAAAAAAGACACCTCAGCAGAGCAGCCCTGGCTTTTGGGCTGTCAGAGCCCCAGCTGCTTCTGGCACCAGCACTGAGCCAGGGTTTCCAGGCAGACAGGAATAAAGAAAGGGGCTTGGGTCAGTTTTGTGGAGGCGGGGGCCTGGCCATGGGAGAGAACAGCTGTTGAGCCATCTCCCTCATGGGCGTTTCCCTGCTGGCTTCTCCTTTCTCCCCACCCTGTATTTCTCATTCTCCTGCCCTCCTCACCCCAGGGCACCCCCCATGGAGCTGTACTGCCTTGCACTGCAATTGCCCCTCATCTTCTAACCCCCCACAAGTTACAACAACCTTGCCAGGTACTGTCACCATAAATAGTAGCTAAAACCTGGGCCTCTTCCTGGTTTAAGCCTGCTAACAGGTTGGCTTGTACGAACAGGAGCTCCACAGAGCTAAGCTGGTTTCAAATTGATTTAAGTGTCACGTGCAAGCCCTGGTGGTTTATCACTCGGTGGACAGAAGATCACACTTGTGGTTAAAGCAGAGCGGCCTTGGGTTTAAAGGCCTTCCCCTTAGAGAGGAGAAGGTGATGTGTGTGGGCTGGGGGTGGAGGTGAAAGCAAAGATGGCAAAAATAGTGGGAAAGGAAAGGAAAGGAAAGGAAAGAGGCTGGGGGAAGCCATGGAGAGACAACTGTGTGGGGATGGCACTGAAGAGAGAAGGATTCAAAGGGATACGTGATGGCAGAGATGGGGTGAAGGGGATACAATGCAGTGCTCGAGGCACTCGGTGAGCTGAAAGTGGGAGCTGAGGTAACAGGAGTGGGGGGTAAGGGGGCAGATGATGAGGATGGGGGTGGGGAAGGCAGGGTGGAGGTGGGCATGCGTGCTCACAGCCAGGGAGCTGAACAGTAATCTCGATTAGGCAATATTATGACAGTTTGGGATGCTGAAAGCCAGATCGAAATCTCCCAGCTGGGGGTTTGCATAGGGAGAGAGACAATAATCACGCCTCTGCTTAAAGCGGCTCCAAAGCCCAGGGTCATCCCAGGGCAGAAGATCTGGGGCTGGAAATCTGTGGTGGGTGCTTTGGGGAGACTGATGGCACAGCTGCAGCAGGACACGGATCCCAGGGACAGAGCTGCCAGACAAAATGCTCTGGGACAGGAGGGAAAAACACACTGGAAAACCAGCCGATTGCGCGTTGTGCACAGAACTGTAGTGGTATCAATTGCAACGGGCTGTCAGGCCTCAGCTCCCACCCTTGCAGGCTCAGGCAGGCTGAGGGAGGACATCACCTCCCTCCCAGCCAGCAGAAACAACCCTGCACTTTGCTGTGGGATTGCCATTAGCTTCCAGATGTTTGACTGGAGGGTAGCAGAGGTGGGGGGAGCCCTTGCCCCTGCTGGATTATGCCATTTCATCCTTTTAAGAGGATTGTGGCCACATGCGCACTGGCCAGCCTACAGCAGGCATGGTTTGAAGTCTCTGCTGGAAGTTCATTTGGGGGGGGCGGCTCACTGATGGGGAGCAGGGAAGCCATACCATCTCTAAAGATACACCAGACAAGGTCCCCCCTCACAAGCACCCTACGTGGGGGCATGGAGGCTGCAGCAGGCTGAGGGTCTCAGTCATCACTGCCACAGCGCCTTCAAGCCAGCGAGGCCATGGGGGACGAGTCCCCTTTGCTAGGGAGACCTGCCACGGGTCGCAGCCTGCCAGCTCCGTGCAGCCCCGCAGCACAGCAAAGGCAGAAGGGGGATGACAGGCGAGGGCACAGAGACATGAAATTTGCCTCACGGTAATTCTGTGCCTCTGCCAAGCCTTGTAGAGGCTATGAGGGCTGGGCTGGGGATCATATTAGGCCCTGCGGAGAAAAGACAAAATTTGCCTCCTCTCTGAATCAGGTCCTAAACTCCCACCGTGCCCGTTGTCGAGCATGGAGAGAAAGACAGAGCAGCCCTCCAGTGGCAGGTTGAGCTGTTCCCACACGAGAGGCCTCTGTAACCCCATTGTTTTGACTTCCCTTGTAACATGAACAGAGCTGGACAGATCTCAGAGCTGTGCTGTGTCTGCTAGGGATAAGAAGAGGTCTTTGGGCTAGGAAACAGGCCCTTCTTGCTGTGGCTAGAGTCCTGGAATAAAATAGTGCGAGGAAATGCTGCAAAGACATTCAGCTCAGCCCAGCCGCTCCCGAGCCCCAGCACTGCTATCAGACTGAACAGCCTCTCTGCTGATGGCAGAGGGTCCCCAGGGCGGAGAGTGATGGGACAGAGTGGAGGAAATTAAACGGAGGGCCAGCCTGAAATCTGATTATCTATCCCTCTCTCTGGCTGTCTGGCCCCCTCGAGTCTGCCTGACCCAGTTAATGTGATCCCACGCCAGATGCTGCCACCTCCACACGAGCTCACAAAACTGCCTGGATCTCATTTCCAAATCCAGCACTGGTGGAAGGGTTCAGGGACAGCCAGCTTGAGCCACTGCCCAAAGGCTGCCAGCTTCCCCAGAGAGCTGCCGGAGGGGTGGGGAGAGGCCAGGGCAGAGTAGGGCTAAGCCCTAATGGAGAAATGCCTCGGGGACCAGGAAAGCCATCCCAAGCACCCAGTCATGGTGAAGGGGTAGAAGCGCAGACTGGAAGGAGGAAAACAGGATAGTGCCAGGGCCTATACCAGGGTGAGAGATAACAGAACAACACTACAGCAAGGGAAAGCAGCTAAGCTTGCATGTGGACTCAAGGAGAAATGAACAACTAAAAGATTGCCCACGTCCTCTCCTCAGGAAAGGGGCAGGGCTAATTCCCCCCACCAGTCTGAGGGGTTGCATCTGAAGCCTAGAGGATTTGATGAGACCAGCTGATGACTTGTTCCCTGGCTCTGCCATGCCTACTGTTCTGGGGCCCTCCAGTTAAGGAACAGGGTGGGGTGCAAGCTGAACTGCCACAGCTTCCCATGCACAGCTCTGCCCAGTTCAGCCACGCTTGCATTAACACCCCTCTCCGTAGCCCAGGGGTGCCTTCTCTCACTGAGTAGCCAGACTGATCAACCCTCCTTACAGGGGGAAATCATGTTGGGCTGGGATGTGTGACTATGCAGCATAGCAGTAGTTGGGCACCTTAGCTTACATAGCTGTGCATTAGTTTCAAGCCATCCCTCCCCATTCCTTTCTACACCTGCCTTCCCTTTTCTTCCTCTTCCAACTCCTCTGTCCCCAGATAGTCTTCCTCTTAACCATTTCTCTCCTTGGAGTTTTGGGACCCCTCTTCCTCCTTGCCACCTTCTCCTCGGGGCAGCAAAATACAAAGTTAGTTGCTGGCTTCTGCCTGCTTGTGAACACACACACAGCACAAGTGTTTTCAATTTCCCACCTCCCAACTCTGTGGAACAGCTTTTTCTAGTGGCCTCACTGGCTGCTCCAGCTTCCCACAGCAAATGGGCTGCACATTCCTCGACTAATTTATATCCAGCCCCGATAGCTTCCCCATGGCTTAGAAATGTATTTTATTACTGCTGTGCTCCCTTCTCTTTGAAAGCAGGCTGACTTGGTAATGAGAGACCTTTTCTCCATCACAGTCAGGGGAGGTATTGGGCCTCTTGCAAACACCCAGCCTTTCTCCTTCTGGTTCAAGATTTTTAGCATTGAACAGGCTCCTGCTGCTGACCAGTTTTTGGTGCAAACCTGTTTTCAGCACTGGGAGCCAGGCCCTTTTCAAGCGTTAGGAGCACGTGTACACATACATACCTCTGGATCAAAAAGTGATGTTCCCTGCAACTGATTCAAACCACAGAAGCACAGAAGTGGAGGAACGCCAACTGAGTCACTTCTCTCAGAATGAATTTCACAACTGCTCCATTTCCTTTCACACAACACATGCTGGTTCTCTCTTATACCCCACATGCAAAGGGGCAGAGATACTATTTTTCTCCCTTTCCTTCTTCCATTCTCTCCATGCTGTCCTGGTCAATGGCATGGCCTTTAAGCATCACTACCTCACAAAATTCTTCCAAAACTCATTTCTTCCACACATACTAAGTGTGCTGCCAGGCTAATTATATAAACCCCTGTCTATTCTTCCTGGCTGTGGCACATTGGTAGCAGCTGTCTTCTATGGAGTGCAAGCACTTATCTTTGTGTCCTGTTCAGGGCTGAAAACACTTAGAAGCTATTGTTTGAAGGGACATTTTCCACTTTGAAATCTGAAAATATGTTTGCTTAATGTTTGGACAACAACAGCAGAACTAAGATCAGAGAAAGGAGTACTTCTAACATGTGCTCACATTGACAATACCCCTAGGCCAAAACTTAACACATCGTCCTTTTGCTGGTTTGAAAGGCTGCCATCAGGCTTTTTTTTTTTTTTGTAAATAGGAGAAAAATAAAGTTGTGAAAAACAACAAGACTGACAGACTCAGGGGCAAATGTAGAGGCTGAATACAAGCAAATTTCCTACATTTACTAAGATTAAGAAATGCTGGACTATGAGCTAAACAGAACCAATCAAGGAAGATAAGGACAGTGCAAAGAAATTGAACCACTCTTTATTTCTGTCCTCATAGCAGAGAAAGATAGGGGTGGGGGAGAATAGGGACACCTACCCTCAAAGCTACTCTTACTAACAAAAATGGAACCACTGGATGAAAGGCATGTTAAAATGGGTCCAGGCTGGCACTCCATTCTGGTTTTACAATGGGGTCTCTGCAGCCGATAATCTAAGCGGGTGACCATTAATAACAACCATCTTGGCACTGGAGGACAGGAGTGGCAATAGGCTGAACACCTGGCTTAGAGACACCATGTCCAAGAAAAGCAGCTTAAATGCTTTCATGGCAGACACAGGAGCTCAGCATTGCGTGTGTCCTAACACAGGAGCTTTTCCTGTCTAGCAATATGGAGCAGCTGCTTTCCATTGCGAGGGCTTGAAAAGCAAAAAATTCAAGCTCATCTCATTGCTAGCAACAGCAATCATGGTAATCTCTGGCCATCATCAGTTCTAGGAATGAACAAGCCCAGGGGGGTCATGCTCACAGCCATCACCCAGGAAAAGCCCTTTATTGTTCCGGTTAACACTCCCACGAGGGGAAAGGGAAGATGGTACAGAAAGGAAGATGAAGCTCACACAAATAAGTCCTCAAAGCCTGTCAAGGCTGGGAAATAAGGAGAGAGGAAGGAATGCAATGAATGGCTTCTGGAGCCCACAGGATTAGAAAGGCATAGAAAATGTCTTTGAACCCATCTGGCTGCAGCTGAGGTTGGACTCGTGAGGGGATAGGAGACGGGATATTCTTACTGCAGCTGTGAGGAGAGGCAGCATCCAGGCCTGTCAGACCTGGGGAGAAATACTCCTCTCCAGCATCTTTCGAACCATGATCTTCAGGTTTTCCAACCCCTTCCCCCACCTTAGAAATCAGCCTCAATGAGGGAAACTTAGGGAAAAGGAGACAAGGCCAAGCAATCTAAGGGCCTAGATTGAACACAAAAAAGATGGAAAAAAACCAGTATGGATTGCTGTGGGGAAGGTGGGTTTCACTGAGAAACCTTCAGTTCTGCCATGCTCCATTTCCCACAAGAGCTCTCCTTCACACAGTACATTTCCCAAAATGGTTCCCTGTCCCAAACAGGGGGCTGTTGGGGTTGGAGAAAACAGCCTTAAAAATGGAGAAGATAAATAATTTTTTTTTTTTTTACCTTAAGGAGGAAAAAACAAAAACCAAACAAACAAACTCCCAAACACTTAAGGCTTGATGGCTGCCTGGAAATTAAGAGGCGTCTCTGTTGCTTGTCCACAGTAAGGGACATATATTGATTAAAGGAAGTCTCTCCTAGCATGTATATTGGTCCTATATATTATATCCTATATCTAGCTAACTGGTGCTCCATGTATAGTGTTACACACTGCCCCAGCTACTTCCCTCAGAACAGCTGCAGGTACCTGCACACCTCCACCATGTTAGGCTGCTACAGGGATTCCTCTTTTCCATTCCTTCATAGCAGACATTAACACACCCTCTTTCACAGTAGAAGGGAAATCACCTGCAAACATGAATCCACCGAGGCAGCAGGAAATGCAAGAGTCAGGGTTCTGTGAGCCATCTTGACTTGACTGCATGCCACCTGTGTAGCTATTCCGCTCAGCTTACGCATGTAATTTAAATCCACTTCACATAGCAAGACAGAGCAAGTGATGCCATTAGAACAGAAACTCCTGCATTTCCCCTGCTTTTGGGTGTTCATCTTCACAGCATTAACTCTGTAGGGACAAACAAGGATTCTGTCACTGTTCCCAGTGGAATGTCAAGTCAGAGCCTGTCCAATTAGCGCTCCTAAAAGAATCTGGAAGTGGGGCTCCTTCCCTCTGAAGGCAATGATAGAAGAGGAGAGTCAGTTCCCTGAATGCTTGGGCATAAGCTGTTGTCCCTCCCTTGTTCCCCCAAAAGATGCATTTTTCAAAACACAAAATAACAATAGGTAAAGTGTTCTGCAAATTACTAATACCAGTTTCAAACTTTCACATTGAAGTACCAGCCCAGGCACAGTGAAAGGGGGGGTAGAGAAGAGGATGTGCTGGGTGGCTACTGCAGCTGTGATCAGCTCAGGCCATGGCACTTCTTTAGGAAAGCTGCACAATGGAAATATTGGAGAATCAAATCAGATCTGATCAAGCCATGTATGTGTTCATTTTAAAGGGGAAGGGGGGGGGGGGGGCCTGCTCCCATCCTCACTCCCCAGCCACCCACTTATTCAATTAGTTCCACATAATTGGCAGGGAACATGCCAAAGTGGCCATCCGGACCATAGCCACGCCACCAGCCTTCATCGATCATCTCAATGTTGGTGATGATGTTCTCAGGGTCGAAGGAGATCTCAGTGTCATCAGCTGTGGTGGGACAGAACAGAGAAAAGTAAAAAAAATGGCTGATTCCTCAAATAACTTGTTTAAAAAACAAAACAAAACACCAAACACTACAACACAGTAACCTCACACCTCAGAGGCCTCTACTTCCCAATCCCCTTAGCTCCCTTCCAGCTGCCCTCACTCAGTTGGGTGCCCCATTTACCACTATGGCCAGGAAGATAGATCTGTTCTCTAAGAGGTCTGATTTTTTTTTTTTGGAATCAGTTATCAAGCCACAGACTCGCCTGTTCCCTGATCCAGGCTATTACTTTGGGCTGCTTTCAAAGCTCAGATCTGGTTGCTCCAACCCTGTGGAACTCAATTTGTGTTGAGGTTTACACTACTAAAACACATGTATTGCAAGTAAAGCTTTCACAAGCATTTCACTATTATCAGGTGCAGTCAGCACAAGCTGATTAGGAAGAATAAAAGCAGGAACTTCCCACTCCCTGTTAGTTAACACTTACATTACAGTAGCCACTGCATGTATACTAGACAGCCACTTTTCAGAGCAGAACTATATGTTCAGGACAGAGGGAACCACAATACATCTGACTCTCAGCTTTTGTAACACTTTTCACCTCAAGGTATTGACAACGTGAGGATTTGGCCCGATATGCTAAAAGCCAAAAGGAAAAGGGAGCCATGTGGTAGGAAATGGGAACAAGAGATGTGAAGGAGCAGAGGCAGAAGAGACAGGTTCAATGCTATTTTTTTAGCTGCATGAGTGCTTTTTGGATAGAGGTTGCCTGGAGGATAGAACATTCAATAGATCTTCACTGCACCGCTCATAAGGCTATGCTTTTACAGAAGGGGAAGAAAAATGCTAAATATATCATACCAGCTTGGTAGTCATACAGTGCCCGGGCACATATTCCTTTCCCCTCCAGGTCCTGTGTCTGGTGGTACTGAGCAGTGTAGTCAAATTTGGCGCCATCAACCTGTTCCTTTACAAAGGATAGTGGAGTGGAACAAGAAAAAACAAACAAAACCACACACACCATGAAACCAAAGGGAGTTGCTTTGGCACAACACCTAAGGGCATCTCATCCTATTCTCATAAACAAACTGAGTGGCTGCGACACAGATGATTACACAGTCAGGTGGGTGGCAAATTGGCCTAAGGGGTCGCACCCAGAGAGTGGTGGTGGATGGGTCGGTATCGACCTGGAAAGATGTAGGCAGTGGGGTTCCCCCAAGGTCCTTGGACCAGTGATATTCAATGTCTTCATCAGCTACTTGGATGAGAGCGTGGAGAGCACTCTGTCCAAATTCATGGATGATGGATGACACCAAATTACGGGGGTAAAATAAACACACTAGTGGGAAGGGATCGAATCCAGGCAGACCTGGACAGGTTGGAAAAGTGGGCCGAAAAGAATAGGATGCAGTTCAACAAAGACAAATGCAAAGTACTGCACCTAGGGAGAAGGAATCGCCAACATACCTATAGGCTAGGGGAGGACCTTCTCAGCAGCAGAAGGGGTTCTTGGAGTCATAGTTGACCCCAAGATGAACATGAGTCATCAATGTGATGAAGTAATTAGCAGAGCTAACCGCACTCTATCATGCATTAGCAGGTCCGTCAGGCCGCAGTTGGAGTACTGCGTCCTGTTCTGGGCACTGCACTTCAAGAGGGATGTGGATAACCTTGAGAGGGTCCAGAGGAGGGCCACTCATATGGTTAGGGGCCTGCAGGTAAGGCCCTACAAGGAGAGACTGAGGGACCTGGATCTCTTCAGTTTCTGCAAGAGCAGGCTGAGAGGGGATCTTGTGGTCATTTACAAATTTGTCGGGGGGGGTGGGAAGCAAGAAATAGGAGATACTCTGTTTACCAGGACACCCCTTGGAATAATCAGGAACAACAGCCACAAACTGACAGAGAGCAGATTTAGGTTGGACATCAAGAAGAACTTCTTTACAGTACGGATTGCCAGAACCTGGAATGGGCTCCCAAGGGAGGTGGTGCTCTCCCCTACCTTGGGGGTCATTAAGAGGAGACTGGACAAGCACTCATCTGACCCCAGCGCTCTTTCCAGGCCCAAGGCAGGGGTTCAGACTCAATGATCTATTGAGGTCCCTTCTGACCCTAACAACTATGAAATACCTGAGGGGTGCCAGGAGCAGTCCTCCTCAGCCAGTCTACAGTCAAACCAGCTGTTCCTAATCACCCCTGGACAGCACAGATGGCTACTGTTCAATGGAGGAAACTGTCCCTATACATCTAAATTTAGAAGATGCCTTGAGGCTTTTATGGGAGCCCTCCCCCAAGCATAAGACAAGGCCATGCTGCATTGTGTTTTATTTCCATAGGAGATGCCAGATTTTCTCCCAGGTTTCTCCCACCTGCATCATGCAGGATGTTCTATCACCCCATTTGTATTTATACTACAACCCACCTGAGGGGGTTCTTCATAGACAGACTCATCTGGTGGTTCCTCGTATAAATCTTCCTCTTCCATTTGTGCCTGAGAAATGGGGATGCTTTGATGATAACTGGTGTCCTGTCCAGCAGAGTCACCTGGAAGGATATGTAGAGTAATTCACCAAGTCAAACCAACTTTCCCCTCCCATCAGAACTGTACAGCATACATCCGTCCAAACTGATGGCTGAGAAGACAATATACTATTAAAGGGTCATTTATCAACAGCAAGAAACCCACCCTACTTTCTACTTACAGTGACATGCTCTGCAAAGCCACCTCTAAGACCTGTAATGCCACACTTCATTTTCAGGTCATTTCCCTTACTTGCATGCCCCTCCTCCCCCAAACTCTAGCTCCCTATGCTCCTTTCACTGGTTGGGAAATTACTTCCTTCTCTCCTGCTTCTGATGGGGGTCTGGTGAATGCAGGCATGAGCAACTTTGCAAAATGATTGTTTTAGACTTTTTCCCGCCCCCCCCAATAAAGGGCAAAAGTGGGGGAAACTTAGACATGGATTCATAGGAGAGATGCAAGGAAAAGGGTGCCTTGGGGTTATGCTCAGTACTTAGTGGGCAGAGTAGAAGTTTTGAAGAGAGGTAGAAAAACTATCATCTATGCAACTTGGCTTTTTCAGCTTGCAGCATTAACTACTAAAAATGTTTAAAGGTTGGATTCAGCATCTACACGCAGGGTTGCAACTAGCTGCTACTTTTGTTAGCAGCAGCCTGGATCAAGGATTCAGGTGAGGTTCAACACAGAAGACAGGAAAAAAAAAAACACAAAACAGGAGATCACTTGGACCACAGCAGCCCCTAGTGGTAAATGCCTGCTAACTACAACTTACACTGCAGGGATGACTCTTTGGGTTCATTTGAGTGAGGAGTGTTACATGGTGAAGACTAATTACTTCTGGGTTAAGCAGCTGCTAATTGAGAAAGGGTTGAGGGCTCAGGCTGATTTTCAATACTAACCCTTCAGGGCATTTTGTCCCATACTATTTCTTTGGCACCTTCCCTCCAAAAACTTCAGAGAAGCTTACAACAGACCCATTAAAATGTTTTGTTTGGTTGGGTTTTTGGAAAAAAAAAAAAAAATAGCACCTTGGAGTAATTCCCCTGGGTGTCATTTAACTATTATCAGGTGCAGCCAGCACAAGCTGATTAGGAAGAATAGAAGCAGGAACTTCCCACTCCTTGTTAGTTAACACTTAACGTTACAGTAGCCATTGCATGTTCAAAGTCCTGAACACCTGCTTGATTCAAGTGCTGTACAAAAAAAAGCCTCACCCAAACTTTATACACTGTGCTATTTAGATCATATTAAAGACCCTTACATGGGAATAAATACTGTATACAATGCACAGGAGTTAATGTTCTTATGAGGGACTTTGTACACCCTGCATTTGTTCCTGAACAATGCATCAGCAGAGCTTTCAAGCAGATTATTCCCTTTGAACATAAAATGAGGGAAACCGGAGGAAGTGTCACCTGCATATTTTTACCTAATTTATGTTTTAACCTTTGCTGCCGTGATCATGGGATTGCTTGTGTCTGCAAATACTATGCCTGGTACAATTTATAGGACTGAGCCTAGGAAGAAACACCCCAAGGCAAGGGACTGTCACACATTTGCAGAGTGCCCAGCACACTAGAACAGCTACATAAAACTGGACCCTGAACACTGACCATCTGGGCAAACTATCCACTACTCAAATTTATATGATCAAGTGTTCTTTACTCCAGGAAAGGCTTTTTAGCTCAGCAAAAGCTATTCACAAGCCTAGCTGAACATTCAGTTGCCATTTGAGTTATTGGTAAGCAAAGCAAGGTGGGTTTGCTTCTGCTTCTCCATCATGAGTTGAAAACATCTTCTTTACCACTTCACCTGACCTGCAACATGAGGTAAAGCATACCAAGTGTCCAGCCTCAAGGCAAATTCTTCAAGATAGTATGGGTCTGTGAAGATGGGATGGACCTGAAAGTTTTAACACCACCTTAAATGTTAATTTGGATTAGTCAAAGCTCCAAACCCCAGCAGAGTCCATTGAGCACTGAGGTGGAAAAGCTTCCCCCTTATAGACATGGTATAAAACACAGCAATATACCTGGCCCAGGCACTGAGGAGGCTGGAGGCATCTCCTGAGCAGAAAATGGATGAGAGTCTTGCACAGCTGAATGGACTGGGGAAGGGGGAGTCTGGACAGGACTGCTCCCCTTCTGCAGGAAGGGGCTCCGTAGTTTGCCTGAGGAAGGAAGTCAGAAATACACAAGGTACTCCAAGCAAACAAGGTCTACTTGAGAGAGTGGGAAGAGTCTCCTTACAACCTCTGTAGTTAACCCTTCCAAATATGCACTGCAGCAGTTGATTACCAAAGAATTGGTACTGCTCTGAGAAGTTCATGGGAAGAAAGTTTCATCCTTACTTGGATGAAACTCCCTCAGGCCTATAGATTCTACTGGCAAATGCATTCTTACTGCTTCCACTTCCCAGAGTCCTACTGAACCAGCAGAGCTTGGGCAAACCTACAGATACACCTTTAACAGAACTGCTTACTGAATTTTAAGCAATGGATGCCAATAGCAATGGGACTGCAGAGAGTGCTCACGAGGGGTCAAAGACAAGGGTCTAATCTATATTACAGGTCAATCATTTCCAAGGAGCAATGTAGGAAAAGGAAGGACTCATCCATTTTATTCTACTCTACCATTCAACTCTGAGTTCGATCCGGATCTCCCATTAAGTCCTGAGGAAATCACTCCTACAAGCCTGTCTACCATAACACCAGAACTGCAGACATACAAAGCAAACTGGGGTGTCCCTAGCTCACCACGACATGAAGACACCACAATACTAGGGCTCACAAAAATCTTTCTAAGTGATCAATCAATTACCAAACCACAAATGTACCTTGGGACCATGGGAGTAAAAGGGATCTCACAGGTCAGAGTCTAGCCCCTGGTCTGCAGACACCAACATTTCATGTGCACATTTTAAGACTGAGGAAGGTCAGTGAAGAGTCATTTCCTGCCATTTCTTCCACAGCTCAGAGCTTTCTGCAAGAATGTTTGAAGCTGAAGAACCTCAACCCATACAGGCACCAGTTAAAGCAAGTTTCAGTCTGTTCTCCAAACAGGTACTGTGCCTATGTCACAGGAAACAATTAGATGAGTTGTTATATAATTGAAAACTTAAAATAGGTAGTGCTGAGTTCCTGCCAGGCTTCCTCATTCAGAGAACATACCACTTCTGGCGAGGGAAACACCAAGGCTGTCACCACATCTCCCGCTACCTCATTTCAGCACACAGGACAGACTGCTTAAAGAATGAAGCAGCTGGTCACTCACCATCACTGGTCAATTTGCAGCCCCTAGGCTTTAATTACTGCACCCCATCCAAACCTCCTCCATGAAAGGCTATTTCCTTCCTTGTGAGGCAATCTACAGCACCCACAGCCACCACACACTAGCATGACTCACTTCTTCACAATACCCCTAAGAAGGGGTATTCAAGGCAACAGCAGAGACATACAATCATAGAAGATTAGGGCTGGAAGGGACCTCAGGAGATTATCTGGTCCAACCCCCTGCTTAAAAGCAGAACCATTCCCAACGAGATTCCAGCCAAGGCTTTGTCGAGCTGGGTCTTAAGAGTCTCCAAGGATGGAGGTTTCCCACCTCTCTGGGTAACCTGTTCCAGTGTCTTACTACCCTCCTAGTGAAAGAATTCTTCCTAATACCTAACCTAAACTTCCCTTGCAGCTTGAGACCATTGCTCCTTGTTCTGTCATCTGCCACCACTGAGAACAGTCCAGCTCCATCCTCTTTGTAACCACCTTTCAGGTAGTTGAAGGCTGGTATCAAATCTCCCCTCAGTCTCTCTCTTCTGCAGACTAAATAAGTCCAGGTCCCTCAGCCTCTCCTCAGTCATGTGCCCCAGCCCCCGAACCATTTTCACTGCCCTCTGCTGGACTCCTTCCAACTTGTCCACATTCTTTCTATAGTGGGGGGGACCAAACTGGACACACTACTCCACGTGTGGCCTTACCAATGCAGAATAGAGGGGAAATGATTACTTCCCTTAATCTGCTGGCAACATTTCTACTAATGCAGCCCAGTATGCTTTCTTGGTAACAAGGGCATACTGACTCATTCAGCTTATTGTCCACTGCAACTCCCAGGTCCTTTTCTGCAGAGCTGCTGCTTAGCCAGTTGGTCCCAAGCCTGTAGCAGTGCATGGGATTCTTCTGCCCTAAATGCAGGATTTTGAACTTGTCCTTGTTGAACCTGATGAGATTTCTTTTGGCCCAATCCCCTGATTTGTTCAGGTCTCTCTGAATCCTAGCCCTACCCTCCAGCATATTTACTACTCCCCCCAGTCTTGGTGTCATCCACACATTTTCTGAGGGTGTACTCCATCCCATCTTCTAGTTCATTAATGAAGATACTGAACAAAATCAGCTCCTGGGCTGACCCTGGCACTCCACTAGATACTAGCTGCCAACTAGACAGAGCCATTGATCACTATCTATCGAGCCCAATGATCCAGCCAGCTTTCTATGCCCAACCCATGCTTCCTCAGCATGCTTGCAAGGATGCTATGGGAGATCATATCAAAAGCCTTGATAAAGTCAACGTATATTACTTCCACTGCTTTCCCCATATCCACAGAGCTAGTAATCTCATCATAGAAGGCAATCAGGTTGGTCAGGCATGATTTGCCAATGGTGAATCTATGCTGACTGTTCCTGATCACTTTTTCCAAGGGCTTAGAAATGGATTCCTTAAGGATTTGCTCCATGATTTTTCCTGGGACTGAGGTGAAGGTCACGGGTCTGTAGCTCCCTGGATCCTTCTTCCCTTTTTGAAATATGGGCACTATATTTGCCCTTTTCCAATTCCCTGGGACCTTCCCCGATTGCCATGAGTTTTCAAAGATAATGGCCAGTGGCTCTGCAGTCACATCAGCTAACTCCCTCACCACCCTCAGATGCACTGCATCCAGCCCTGTGGACTTGTACACATCCAGCTTTTCTAAATAGTCCATAACTTGTTCTTTCACTACCAAGGGCTACTCTTGCCTTCTCCCCAAATTGTACTGCCCTGTGCAGTAGTCTGGGAGCTGACCTTGCCTACGAAGACTGAGGTAAGAAGAGGCATTATTTCAGCTTTTTCCTGATCATCTGTCACTAGGTTGCCTCCCCCATTCAGTAACGGACTCGCATGTTCCTTGATCTTCCTCTTGTAACCGACATACTTGTAGAAACCCTTCTTGTTACCCTTCACGTCCCTTGCTAGCTGCAACTCCAGTTGTGCTTTGGCCTTCCTGAATTCATCCCTGTATGCCTGAGCAATGTTCTTATACTCCTCCCTATCTGTCATCTGTCCAAACTTCATGTGTCTAGTTCAAGTCAGTTTTCCTTGCACCTCCCTCTCTAAAAATAGCATTGCTGGTTTTGGACTAGTAACCACTTCAATACAGTGGAGACAACATTTTCCATTGCTCCATTAAGGTCATGTCTACATAGGGAAGTCTACTTGGAGTTGGTCAGAAAACAGATTTCAAGTAGAACACCTATTCCACATCGACTCCCTGTATGAATTCTTAATTTGTAAATCAGAGTAACTGAGGCCAAATTGGATTAATCCATTAGAAGGGATTAAGCACTTCCAAAATAAGACCAGGAAAAGAATATCCACACAGAGCTCATCAAGTATAACTGCTTTGATGAGGCATTTATTTTTCCAACTCTTAGGTACCACACAATGTTGTTTCTTATGGGGTATGTTGACAACCGGTATTGAAGGCATACCCCAGGGTAGATGAATTACAGAAGTTGACTAGATCACCACATGGCTTTCTGCATAGAATCAGATTTTAAAGCCAAAAAGCCACATGCAGGTATTAGTCACCAAGCATGGAAAAATCTCATCCTCTGCTGTTTAAGTCTGGCACAGTTGTTAGCAAGAGCCTTATACTGGGAAACATTGGCAAACAGTTCTAGACATTGCTCTGCCTATAGTGCAAGCCACAGAGGGTGCAATAAGAGTATTATCAGTACTTAGCTTGCTAAGGCAGGATCTCACTGCTGCTTTTAGGCATGCAACTTGAGTGCTATCCCAGACATGATGGCAAACGCTTCCATATAATAACTCCAAACTTTCTGCACATATGCAATTTTTCCTTATGCTCTGTTAACCTGGCACTGGAAAATACCTTCCCCAGGAGGCACCATAACTCTTCAGTCTAGGAGCCAGTCTAACCCCACTTCATACCTGGCTGAGAACAGACAGCCGTTGTTTCTGCAGACATGGACCTTTCCTTCTGCCGGAAGATGTCCCGTGGGTTCACAGATCTTTGTGCTATAAGTGATGCTGCTTCCTGTGATGGAAGAAGGGCACATACCTTAATCCAGCTGAAACAAAGTTACCTATCCAAATGGAAGCATGGGACAGTATGGAGACTGAGAAGCAATTTAGTCTCATGCTTCTACAATGCAAGAGGATGTTTTGAGATCAGAGTGTAATAATAAGCAGTCATGCAACACCCTAGGATCACTCAGTGTTACTGATTCCTCTTCCCTGGAGTAGCTAGGGAGGACAAAAAACAGCCCTAGAAAGATTGTTCCTTCCCGCAAGAAGATAGCAGTCTGTATTCCAAGCCCCAAAGAGGACAGCCAGTTTAAATCACCGTTATGGCCCAGATGAAGGAGGCTTTTGAGAAAATAGATTAAGGTGGCAGAATGCAAACTATTTACAACACAGTGGTGCCAAGACTTGAGTTACAGCACATGTAGAAGTGGCAAGAAGAGCATGCTTTGCATAACAGTTCCCATGACCACAGCTTAGTGTCTGCCGATAGGCACCAACAGTAGATGCATCTGAGCTTCCTCCCCCACCTACCTGAGCTTTCTCCACAGACTCGCTCCTTCGGAAACCCCTCCTTTGCCTGGCCTCGTACTCTTCTTCCTGCTCCTTCTGCAGCATGAGACAACCCCTTTACCCTCACAGCAAGTCACATAGCTAGTCAGGAACCCCTTGCTTGGCTCCTACGGCCACAGCCCCCTACCTCTAAGAAAACTTGGCTTCTTCCAACCCCAGAGGCATGGGAACAAGGGACAGACACTGAAAGCATGCAGGACAGTAAACAGCTGACCAGGAAAGTTCTGGAGAAAGAGGCTACACCTCCCACAGCACCCTATGGGAAGTGTTTTGACCAAGCCAGTCTGTCAAAGCTCCTAATCAAGTGGGAGTGCTGGAGGGAGTGGCATCAGTTACATTCCCGACTCCTAGCCCCATCATGCATGACAACTCAGTATCATCAGTGTAACCTGGAGAGAAACCATGTTCCCAATAGCACCAGGGCTGGTGCCTGTATCTGGAGCTCCCACCAGTGCAGTCCATACAATATTACTCTAGGACAACCCAACTGGTAGGGGGGTCAAGGTTCTCCCTGCATTTCTGCAAGTTTCATTTGTAACAGGCCATGGGAATCAGTGATCCTCAAAACTCACCCATTGCTGCTTCTCCTTGTCTCTGTTCTGCACTTCCTGCTGCTGCTGGAATTTCCTGCAGTTATCAAATGACAGACTGTGGTTAAACAATAACCAGGCTGAGCGGTTCCCTCCCTCTCCAGGGCCAAGAAGCCCAGCTGGCCTGGATTCTCTAGCTCGCTGCTGCTGGGCCCTAGCCACAGACAGCCTAGCTGCGGGATACTGACAAACCGGTCATGGCAAGTCACGCCTGACCAACCTGATTGCCTTCTATGATGAGGTGACTGGCTCTGTGGACGTGGAAAGACCAGTGGATGTGATATATCTTGATTTTAGCAAAGCTTTTGATACAGTCTCCCACATCATTCTCCTGGGCAAGTCAAGGCAATTTGCAATGGACTGTAAGGTGGATAGAAAACTGGCTGAAGCATTGGGCTCAGAGGGTAGTAATCAATGGGTCGATGTCTTGTTGGTAGCCAGTATCAAGTGGAGTGCCCCAGGGGTAGGTCCTGGGGCTGGTTTTGTTCAATGTCTTCATCAACCTGGAAGATGGCATAGAGTGCACCTTCAGCAAGTTTGCAGATGACACCAAGATAGGGGGAGTAGTAGGTAAGCTGGAGGGTAGGGCTAGGATTCAGAGTGACCTAGACAAATTGGAGGATTGGGCCAAAAGAACTCTCATGAGGTTCAGCACGGGCAAGTGCAAAGTCCTGCACTTAGGATGGAACAATCCCATGCACCAGTACAGGCTGGGGGCTGACTGGCTGGGCAGCAGCTCTGCAGAAAAGGCCCTGGAAGTTACAGTGGACAATAAGCTGAATATGAGCCAGCTGTGTGCCCTTGTTACCAAGAAGGCTAATGGCACCCTGGGTTGCATTGGTAGGTGTGTTGCCATCAGAGCAAGAGAAGTGATTATTCTTTTTTATTCAGCACTGGCGAGGCCACATTTGGAGTATTATGTTCAGTTTTGGCCCCCCATCACAGAAAGGATGTGGACAAAATTGGAGACAAACCAGTGGAGAGCAACAAAAATGGTGAGGGGTCTGGGGTACATGACTTATGAGGACAGGCTGAGGGAACTGGGCTTTAGTCTAAAGAAGAGGAAACTGAGAAGGGATTTAATAGCAGCCTTCCACTATCTGAAAGCGGAGGGGAGCGAGGTGTTGAAAGAGGATGGAGCTAGACTGTTCTCAGTGGTGACAGATGATAGAACAAGGAGCAATGGTCCCAAGCTGCAAGGGAAGTTTAGGTTAGGTATTAGGAAGAATTTTCTCATTAGTAGGGTGGTAAAACACTGGAACATGTTACCTAGATTGGTGGTAGAAACTCCACTCCTGGAAGTTTAAGACCTGGCTAGACAAAGCTTTGGCTGAGATGATCTAGTTGGGGATGGTCCTGCCTTGAGGAGGGGGTTGAACTAGATGATTTCCTGAGGTCCCTTCCAACCCTAATTTTCTATTATTCTATACTGCTCTGTCCACCATGATGCAAAACTACAGTTCCATACTGACAGTCTGAGGTTTTAGAGAACGTCTTCCCAATAATACAAACAAGCCTTTCTTTGCCAAGCAGTAGACCCCCAGCCCAGACTCTTGTGGCACTCCTAAATCATGAACACCTTCTTGCCAGAAGGAAAGGGCACCTTTAAGAGGTTTAAAACCTGCCCCAAATCACACTGTGACCTCATACTAAAAGGTTTAATGGTGAAGAATGCTATTAGGTTCTCTGCACATGGAGCCCAGGGAAAAAGGAAGGAAATAGTTGCATGCCCAACCTCAACCCCAGCTACTTTCCTTTCACTGCCCACAGGACCCTTAGCCACCCCCTCATGTTTACCATCCAGGAAGTCAAACTCCAGGCCAAGTTAATGGGTTGTAAATTTTCACGGGACGTTTTGTATTAGGGTGTATCACTGAAGTGAGAGGGAGGGTCAAACCAATGATGGCTGAAAAAGCATTCATTGTAGCATTTAGGAAGCTACCTGTGCATTCAAGATCTGTGGTGTCAGCCCTGGTTCTGGACTTGGAAGTTGCTTCTAATTACCCATGTGAGGTATGCATGAGGTTGGATGTTGGGGTAGTACTTGGAAAGGCAAGGGTTCATGGAGGGCTGTGACCCTATACACCCCTTATCCACTGAGCCATCTTCTACTATAGGGGTCTGCAGCATGCATAGAAGCACAGCAGAGCCATGCAGACAAAGAGGAGAATGGCATAGAGAGTGCAAGAAGTGCACCACATGGGAACCATCTTCTGTGCCTGTGCTCTGTAACAATACTGGTGGTGGCAGTGGACAAGGAGCTGTAGTCCTCGGAGGAAAATGCGAGTGTTGCAGTCATACTGCAGGTCCAGTAAGTTCTGTCAGGGGGGCTCTAAGAGAAAGCAGCTCCCCTAGGCAGAGGCACAGACTGCCCAGACATGTCCCTACTCCTGGCTGGGGACAGGACCACATGAAAACTCACAGGTGAAGCTGCTCAACAGTCAGAGCTTGTTACGTACCACTGAGGCAGCAGCTTTGCCATCTGGGACCTTCCAGTGAATTGCCAAAGCAGTAATCCCATTCAACAGCTCACCAGGCCCTTCAGATCAGGTGTTACAATTTGAACTCTGCCCTCAGAAACCTTTAGACAGGTTAATGCTGTACTGCTGCTCTGTACATTGCTGTACTGCTCCCAATGCAACTACTGGATGTTGGCATTATGGAGAAGCTTGGCACATTGGTGCAACCGGAAGGACCCTCCAATGCAATTGGAGACCTGTGGATTGAAGGTACGTTGTATATTTGTCCCAAGAGCAAGTGTGTGGTGGTGAACAGCATGAGCACACAGGAGCAGGGGCAGAGACCAGGCTGGACAAGAACCACCGCCTGAAGAGACTTCCTGGAATTGCACTGTCAGGAAATGCACTTGAGAAACTGAACTGAAAGCAAATGCTACTGTGCACGCACACAGAGCAAATCTGCAACTCCCTGGGACCAGCTCAGCCAAGCTGGTTTGTCTCCTAGCCAACAGCAATGGGGGAAGCCAGGGCTGATGGGCAGGAGACACTGAAGCCTGAGTGGGATGGGCAATGGAACAGTCTCTCAAGGTCAGGTTGAGTTGGTTATATATTCCGCAGCCCTCCCAAGCAGTACTGTCAGCCTAACTGCACCTTGGGCTGTAAAGAACAAAAGCAGGACAGAAACAGCTCCAAGGAGGAAGCTGGAAAGCTATTAGAGTTTCACTGGACAAAGAAGAGACTCACTTCTGAGCATCGATCTCACTGGCTCGCTCCTTAAACCTCTGCTCGCGCCCAGCTGCTTCCTGCAGCTCCCGCTCCCGGCGCGCTCTCTCTAGCTGCTGGCGCTCCTCTTCTGCTCGCCTCTTCTCCTCTAGCCGCCGGTTCTCTTCATCTTTCTGTAGGAAGGAAAAGGACCCCGTACCAGCTTTGGTTTAATGTCAAATGAGCATGGATGAGTGTGACCCCATCTCTGCACCTCTTGTCATGTCAAATGGCAACAGCACTTTCTCCCAGATTGCCCTGCTTTTGTTAGGTCAGCATCTAAATGAGGAGCCACAGGGCTTGGATCAGACTAGGACAGGAAGGCATGGAGCACTTTGAGAAGCACATTTCCTTTGTAACATTCCTTCTCTTCAAGGGCACCTGCTCAAGTCTGCTTGTTCAGTTCAGGGACCCTAAGGACATATCAGGTTCTTTGCTGCCAGATGCAACACACCCACTGGCACCTTCTGAAGCCATCCAGGACAGAGTTCACTGTCTGGTTAGATATGACTCCGGCTACAGCCAACTCATGGCCTCCACACTGCTTCTCAGCATCTAGAGTGGAGACCGATACCTGGAATAGCTCCAAGTGACCACAGCCACCTGCCCGATTGAGAAACAGAACCCAGGAGTCTTCTGCTCTATGCACTGGGTCCCTGCCAAGAAATCTCCATGGGATTAACCCTAGTAACTGAAGACAAACCTCCCAGTTCATCAGCACAACCTTCCACAATAGCTATGTTCGACTGCAGCCGTGAACTGGCTGCCCTCACAGGAGACTAGAAGGGAAGATAACGTCACAAAGATCAGCCTGCTCAGAACCCAATGCCAGCCTCCCTTAGCTTCCTCTCAAAGCTCTTTCCACAAAAGTTAGACTAGCAAGCTAGTCATCTCTGACACTGGAAAAAGCAAAGCTATTAGCAATTAAGCACTGGGACGCTTCCATATCCAGAGGTAGTACTGCACAGAATTCGCCTAGAGTGGCACGGACGGACAATAACCCAGATAGAAGTTGGCTTAGATTCAGAAACACAAGAAATCTATTTCTAACCCACACGTGCCTGTATTTTGGGTTCACATTGCATACAAGGACTCTTCTTTACAGATCCAAAAGGGACTTTGTAAAGAGAGAACTAGAGGACCCAGATTGCTGCTAAGACCTTTTCTAGTCACTTCTGTCGATTGTGAGCCATCAGCCCCAGCAGAAACAGTCCTCCCCATGCCTTTAGTCTGGTCAACACTGGGCAAGAAATGCAGCCTCCAGGAGAAGGCAGGCCAGAGGCAAGCGGAGAACAACAGAGATAAAAATCCAAGCCCCTGAGCCCAATCCAGCCTCACCTCAGTGATCAAAACAACTCACCTCTGCTTTGGCCCAGAAGTTGTCTTTATTGACTCTCTTGATTTCAGACATTGCATTTGTCTTCTGGTATACGGAGCCCTGGAGGAAAGTAACAAGACATATACAGCTGATACAGCCTCTGTATACCGGGAAACTGGTGCTCAGTGACTAGCAGCAGACTGGCAACCCTGCCCAGTGCCACTATTTCAGACTCCTGCCTGGTCACCTACTGGTACAAGCTGCACAACAGAATGATGAAGCACCTGCAACAGGCTCAGTTCTCCCAACACCAGACAGGCACCCAAGAAGGGGGTCCAGCGGTTTATAAAAACCACGTAATAGCCCTGGCAAGCCAGAGGCTGAAGACTGGCCCAGATAAGGAGACAGGAAAAGATCATAGAATCATAGAAGTTGGGTCAGAAGGGACCTTGTAGATCTTCAAGTCTGACCCCCTGCCTGGGCAGGAGGAAAACTGGGCTCAAATGACCCCAGCCAGGTAGGCATCAAGCCGCTTCTTAAAGACCCCCAGGGTAGCAGCACCACTTCCCTTGGAAGTTGGTTCCAGATCCTAGCCGCCCTGACTGTGAAGTAGTTCTTACGGATGTCTAATCTAAACTTACTCTCCAACAACTTGTGGCCGTTATTCCTTGTTATCCCAGGGGGCGCTGGGGGAAACAAGGTCTCCCCCAAACCCTTCTGGTCCCCCCCTAGTGAGTTTATAGACAGTCACCAGGTCCCCCCTCAGCCTTCTCTTGTGAAGGCTGAACAGGTTCAGGTCCCGTAACCTCTCATTGTAGGGTCTGCCCTGCTGTCCCCGGATCATGCGGGTGGCCCTCCTTTGGACCCTCTCAATGTTGTCCACATCCCTCTTGAACTGGGGTGCCCAGAACTGGACAAAGTACTCCAGCTGTGGCCTGACCAGTGTCACGTAGAGGGGGAGGATCACCTCCTTGGACCTACTCAAGATGCACCTGTGGATGCACGATAAGGTCCAGTTAGCCCTGCTGACCGCAACCTCGCATTGGACTCCAAGATGCCTTTCTGCCTCCGTGCTCTCAAGAAGGGAGTTTCCCATCTTATAAGTGTGCTGCTGGTTACTACTGCCCAAGTGCAGCACCCTGCACTTGTCAGTATTGAAACGCATCCTGTTTTTGTTAGCCCACCCCTGCAACCTATCCAGGTCTTGCTGCAGTCTTTCCCTCACTACTAGTGTGCCCACCTCACCCCAAATTTTGGTATCATCAGCAAATTTGAACAGGTTGCTTTTCACCCCGTTGTCCAAATCGCTGATAAAGAAATTGAACAGTGCGGGCCCAAGGACCGAGCCCTGGGGGACTCCGCTGCCCCACTTCCCCCCAGGTCGAATATGACCCATCCACCACCACCCTCTGAGTACGACCCTTCAGCCAATTCGCAATCCATCTGACCGTGTAGGCATCGATGCCAGTCGCCTAGTTTTTTAATGAGGATGGGGTGGTCGACAGTGTCAAAGGCCTTGCTGAAGTCCAGAAAGACTACATCCACGGCGACACCTGCATCCAATGCTTTTGTGACCTGATTGTAAAAGGCAATCAGGTTGGTCTGACATGACCTGCCTCTAATGAAACCGTGCTGGTTGCCCTTCAGCATCATCCCCGATGCCGGCCCGTCACAGATGTGCTCCTTGATGATCTTCTCAAAGAGCTTCCCCAGGATTGAGGTAAGACTGACGGGCCTATAGTTGCCCATCATCTGCAACTTGCATTTCATCTACACAAAACTTATAGAATGAGGGGGAGAAACTGCCCAAAAGGAAGAGGTCAGAAAACAGATTACATATACACTCCTCAAATTGAGTTGTCATCTATATTTAGACAGACCAAGCCCATCCCATGTGATGGGAGCTGTAGAATCGAGTGCTAACCTTAAAATAAGCCCTCAACACCAAGAGAAAGGGGGGAAAAAAGATACAGATGTGAAGAAACAGTATTAAGAGAAGGGTTTGGAAGGTTATGTACCACTTAGTGCCTAAGCAAGGCATTGGGGTCAGACTGTTACCTACCTTAAAGTGTCTATAACCAAGGTGTCACAGCATCTACAGGTGTGCAGAGGTCCCTTTCAAGGGTGCTTTTGTGCATGTCAACGTTAGCACTATTAGGTGTGCAAACCTGATCCATAAGATACACCCAGGGATCTCAAACAGGAATCTATTGTGTCAAAAACATTCTGACCTGCTAGGGGCTTTGAATTCTTTGCAACAGAACTGTGCTATTTTCCTGCAGTCAAAAAAAGCAAGTGAAACCAAAAGCTGGCATTGAGGGGTGCCTTGAGCCTCAAGAAGATTGAGAAGCACTGGTCTGTATCATTTATGGTGTTTTGATGGCTCTTGTAGTATGCCATATGCAAGGCCTGGTCTGGAAACTAAAGTGCTGTTGTGCAAGACTTCTGCATGTTCATTTGGTCTTTGTGCTGCATCAGCAGCAAAGAAAAACCTTTCAACATTTTTTCTACAAGAGGCATTAGGCATCCTTAACCCAAGGAAGCCAAAAACCTTTTGGCCAAGCCACACACTTGGTATATAGGAGATCTCCGGTCAAGTTCCAAAGAGTCCTTGCTCTGAAATCCAAAGCAGCTGCTCCAACCAGGGTAGTGGCTAGCTGGTTTTGGGGACAGACAGCCGGCTAAGAAATTGTAATCCTGGCCTCAAAAAAACCTTTTCAGTATCAGCACTGAAACACTTCAACAGAAAAAAAGGACTGCTGACATGTGCTTACCAACTCTGCTGTGAGCATTTAAAAAGCAATTAGTTTCGATTTACAATGAACTTGTGGCTGCATTAGTTGCCATTATTCATTAACCTTCAATTTTGCCACTGTTCATGGACATGTGGACTCAAGCTTCATGCAAGGGGCACTCTATACTTTCACGTGTTGTGGTAGAGACTGGAGCCGCATGGATTATTTGACTTCCTTTTTCCTTGGTGGGGCAGGAGAAGATAGGAACAACCATGTCGTAAGTCCATACCTGCCCTTCACCACTCATGGGGTAGAACATTTCCACACCACCCATATTGTTGAAACATTATGAAGACCACCTCTCTCCCATCTCCACTCGTGGCCCTGATGAAGGACAGGAGTTACTTTGTCTAACAAAATGTTTAAGCCCACCTGAAGCAGAAGCTGGTCTCCTATTATGTCCCACACCAGTCAGTCATCAGCTCCAGAGAAGACAACACCACACAGAACGGTCTTGGGGAGTACCACAACTAGTAAGACCAAGAGCACCAGCTTCTCCACTCATTCCATCACAGCAAGAACAGGGTTATACCAAGCACTCCAGCAGCTCACTCCACTGCCCAGCTGAATTAGTTCCCCAACCCTGGAGCCCTGGCTCTGTGTGATCCATCTGTCTCCTGGGAAACTCACCACTGGAGCCTGCGGGCCCGAGTCCTGGAACTTGCTAGGTTCTCTATGGAAGTTGTAGTTTGCGCCAGAAGCCTTCGCAACCTTCTCCATGATGGACTCAGGTTCCACATCCTCTTCTGCCCGAGCATTAATGGTTACATGAGCACCCTGGAAAGAAGCAGCAACACCTCTGGAATATGTCACAAAGTATCCCACAGCAGCAAGGGAATTGGGCTGGCAAGATCATCATCTTGAGGGGGGAGATGTTTCTGAGACAGGCAGCTCTATCCATTCACTTGCAGTGGCTGTGTACAAGGACAGACACAGCCATTAGGAACTGCCCAGAGGGAGGTTTGGCTCGAGGGAAGCTTTAATTAGCACATCCAACTGGCCCGTCAGTCGCCTTACTTTAGCTCCCGATGTGTCCAAGCTCACCTTTTTGCTTGAGAGACCTGAGTTGGGACGTAGCTGAAAACTCCACATGCCACCTTAACATAGGACAGCAAGTATAAAGGGAGCAGACTGAAATAAATAGCCACACATCCTCTGTGACTCTGGCCCTCTAAACCCCTTTAAGTAATGCCCTGATTTGTTAAATGGCTCCTCATTTGTCTACTATGATAGAAAACAAGCAGCTTAAACTATTAGCTCATACAATGTACCCTAAAGGCTAGTCCTATAATCTGATACTTAAATAACAAGATTAGAGAGAGAGGGTGTTGGCAGCCTCTCCTTCCTGTGTGGTCTCTTATCTTTCCATTGCTTTTTAACAGTGGAAGGTTACTATGCCAAAAGCCCCTTATAAACATAGGGTTTTTCTATAAACACTGGGTATTTGTCAGAAACAAGGCACAACAGGATGTACAGCAGGTTGGCACTGCAGGTGGCTGACATCTTTTGGTGAAGCAAGCAGGGCCTTTTCATGAAACACCCTGTTGTGATGTCTTGTTCCATTACAGCTCCAGGCAAGTTGAAAAGGCAATAGGGGAGCAGCTGGAGAACCGCAAGGCTCCCTCAGAGCCAGCACTTCTCAGAAGGAAGGGCAAGAAAGCCAGAGCTGCAGATTGCAACAATAGAGAGGGAGGATGAGATGGGGCATTGCTTTCCAAGCTTTGGTGGCCACCAGGCAACATCTCTCTCTCTCTGAAGACACATGCATCTGTGGGCATCAGAGCATCTCATGGGCAACACATTAACACCAAAACAGGTTATGGACCAGAGGTCTAGGGAAGAATAAAAGGGAAAAACTGTCTGTACCTTTAAGAAGTTTGCTATGGTGCTGACATGGTTGGCACAAGCGCCTTTTCTCACATCATTCACACCTTCACCAGTCTGCAAAGAGATAGCAGTCAGTACCCACAGTTAGGGGAGCTCATATTAAAGCCTACCCTTTGTACCAGGGGAACACCCAGATAAAGGTGCTGCAAAGCTGAAGGCCACTACGATCAGCATCACTAGGGCTAGCTAGACTAAGGGAGAGAGGCCTCGTGCCATGTAATGGTGCGTGACAGTTCCAAGTGGCCATTTTGGGGATCCTGTGGCTCAACAGATGCCTGCAAATACAGGTGAGGCCCTCCCAAGTGCCATGTGCCCATAATTTTAGTGTTAAGGGAGCTAGGAACTTTACATACCCAGTTGATGAGAACGTATTTGGGCAGGCCAGAGTTGGGATCCTTCACCCGGCAGAAAGCATACATCACCTTCCCACTGTTGAGCTCCTCCACCATTTCCTCCAGGCCACCATCTACACCATCACCACACCAGGGAGAAAAAGGAAGAGAAACAGGACATCAAAACTGACCCAACCATCCCAAGCTTAAGTTTGGGGGATGGAAGCCGACTAGAACCCTGCCTGCCAGGCTTGGAAAAGCAGCCAGCTGAAAAGAAAAGAACAAAACCCAGCCATCGGTTGCTTTCATTAACGGCAGTGTTTCCATGAAACAGGACCCATCTGAGCTTCTACTTACCGCCTCTTCTGATCCTGTTTTATTTATCAGCAATTCAAATGAAGGCACCAATAGCCAAGGCCCTAGGTGAGCTAATAAGGATATAAATGAACACAATTCAACCAAACCTCTGTTCACACTTCCCCAGGAGCTCATCCTGTAAGCTACTTTGCTCCTTCCTTTAAGATGCCTTCTACCCTACCAGACAGGTTTCTTTTGCAGCACCATCCTCAAAGTTATCCAAAAGCCCAAGTCTGGTAAGCAGTGGGGCAGGGGAGCACACTCAAGTCCCAGTGGCCTCATCCTGCCTAGCTGCCCTTTCTTTTGGTATGAGGTGTTAGGACTGAAAACTAACTATAGCAATAGCTTGTGAGGAGCAATGCCTTAGGTAGGCAGGTTCCTTTTATGGTGTTCACATCCTAGACCCAAGAGGCAGCCAGAACAAGCCACAGCACTTGGGTCCCATGCTCCCCACAGGATGCATGCCCACTTTCCTTTATGTCAGCTTCAGCATCCCAGGGACAATGTACTGCAATGGCTTAATCGCCAAATGAAGCCATGCAAGGCCCACAGCTGAAAAAGTAGCCATTTCCCAGTCCCATGCAGTACAAAGCTGACTGGGTTACTATGATACCACATGATGCTGGGGAGGGGGGAAGGAGGAGTCCAATCACCAGCACCATTAATTAGCTGTAGACACACCTATGGAAAGGAAGAAATGCCACTACCTATTCTAGTTGCTTTTTTTTTAGTCCACCACCTCCTCGGCCTCATCTGACTTGCACTGCAGCCAGTTTGTTCTCACTTACCTCCTAGTCTCAGTTAGACATTGCCACCAGTTTCTCTTCCTCAAAGAGTTCTTCTGATCAAGTGGATAATCTGATCAAGCAGTCTCTACAGACTGCCCTACGGTTGGGTAAAGTTGTAAAATCCTTATACAAGGACTTCATTTGTTTGGTTATGGGCAGTCCCAGCCTCAGCAAGAGTTCTCCATTTACAACCATGCCACTTTGGCTCAGGTTCACAGTGAAGCCCTCAGCACAAAGGAAACCAAGTGGCGGCTGTTTGCATGTCACAACAGCTTTCACAGCATCATTAAACACCTTCACATGGTGAGGGGGAGTCAAATGAAAAGTCGGTTCTCCATAAAACAGATGCAAAAGATCTGTAACTTGCAAGGTACTTTTTTGCATGCAGTAATTAATCCTCAAAGCCACAACAGGTGGCTATAAAGCTCCGTACATGATACTATAACTTCAGTAGGTACCTGCACCCTGTTCTCAATTATTTCCATGTGATGCTGCATCACAGGACTTTTGTCATTCATTTCAAAGGGATCAGGCTATGTTCCTGATATGTGTAAGCCAAGGCAACGGAAACAAAAGCTCAAGTAGAAGAAATCACCCTGCATGAGATGGGACTGACCAGGAGGGTTCTGGGTCAAGCTAAAATTAATGCCTAGGGAAGCATCCCTCAGCCTGTTCCTTCTTTCCACTGCATTCTCATAGCAGTCAGCTCCAAACTAGAGTAAACTGTGCAAACAGGAAACCAGACTTCCCCACAACTCCCTGCACCCACATCTGCTGTATGCTGCCAGCGCGCTTGCAGAATGCACACAGCAGCCTGATCTTTAGATGCAAGCCAGGAAGTGAAACACTCCCATGTACTTCAGACACCTGCAATTTTCCGGCACTTCTCAATGCTTGCTCTGGCATAGAATCATGTGCTCCGTAAGATTAACTTTACCACATACTTTATGAAACCCCAACCCCCTCCTCTGCAAATCTGCCATACACTACCATGGAGGCCACATGCAGTTCTAAAATAAGGGATCATCTTGTGCTGTGGCATAATGTGAGAGATTATCTGGATTAAGCAAAGACTGTCTGAATGCTGCTTTCACACAGATTGTCTGGGAAATATTAATATTGGCTTCCCAGTGAAGCCCCCATCTTTTAACAGTACAGGCCTGTGTTGCTAATCCTGGAGGATCTGAACTACTGAGGGATTCCAGCTCCAAATAGTCCAGGTACGCACCTGATAGCCAGCTGCAGCACCAACCACAAGCTCCTAAGCAGCTAAGTGCAGCATTAGGCTATGTACTCAGGGAAACTCCACTGTTCCTTTCTAGCCTTATAAGGCCCAAGGAGGACAAGCACATAGCAGCTAAATCAAGCCAGGCAAGGGGTGAGAGGAGTTCAACTTCAACTTCCCTTTTTTGGGGGATCAGCAAGAAAACTCACATATGCTGTGCTGATGCAACATAGCATTTCTCAAAAGCCTGGACCATGAATAGGAGCAAGGCTTCAACTTCAGCTCTCCCTGCAGCTGCTAAGGCTATATAGGCTCCTCAACAATTCTTGCAACTTGAAGCATCATGGAAAAGTCTATCCTCAAGATTTTCCAGCATTGACAAGGCATTTCATCCCCAACTGCACCACAGAAAAGAATATACCTTTGGGCAGTAGCTAAAACTCCACTTCAGTTAAAAGTAGGGGGAAGGGAGAGAAAGCTAGAGTGGAAAGCATGACATTACACTAACCACAATGCCATGCTAAAATTAAGTGCTAGGAGCTACCAGGAATGTAACATTAAATATTGTGGTGATAAGTTTAAAAAAAAAAAAACCAACAGAAAAACCCCCCCAAACACCTACCAATCCTAAGCACTCTCACATGTTAGAAAAATTCCAGCAGTGAAGGTCCCTCCTGCAGGGCTGGCTTGGCCACATTTTAAATCACCATAAAATAGCAGGCTGAGCAGTAATTATCCAGACACTAGCAGCAACATTGGTTAAGATCATACTTTTAGATCTGTATTTGAAAACAGGACTAGAGTTCCTTTCCCCCCTCCCTCCCACCAATCAAATATTTATAGTCCATCTCTAAATTTGGCACAACCATTCCAGAGGACAAAGCAGTTTTCCATGTGATATTTTTAGAGAATTATTCACTAGCTTTCACACAGGACATGTTCCCAACTTGCCCTTTTTGTCCCCGTGGTCTCCTCCATTGGGGTTTCTCCAGTCCCACAGCCCAAGTCCCTACCACCACTGAGCTTTATATGCACAGAGAATGAACACAGCTGAACCTCATAATAACCAGCACAGTAGGACTGATGCTCTTCTATATCATCAGCCAATGAATGCAACCACTCAGGTCCATCAACTATTTCCATTCTCCAAAGCAACTGGGATCAAGCTGGCTCTGTAAGGCAGTTGCAATTCTTCATCTGGACCTGGGCTTCACCCTTCTCCTGGGGTGGAGACATGGCAGACTACAGAAAGCACCTCAAAGCTAGTTTTGGAGAAATCTAGCTCAAGGGCACATGCGTGGTATAGGCCCAAGATTCAGCTACCAAGATAGAGGCTGAGAACTAACAGGAAAGCAAGCACAGAGCATGGCTGTTTTACAGAGAGCAGACTTGAGCAGACTCCTTGGACTCTCATTTCTACACCCTTATCTCCATTCCGGATGGAACATGACCCTCAGGGAGTTATTTTACTTTCATGGGAATGAGCAGACAGATACAAACCATTAATTCTGCCTGGCACAGGAACTTGCTGGGACCGGCAGCACTGAAATGAAGGCCTCAACAAACTCACTCTGCAGTGGGCCCATGACACCCCCGACAGCCATGTTCTGACCAACTTCATGCAAAACAAGCTGACAGCAGGGCTGGCAACACCTTCAGCTACCACCTCTCCCTCTCTTCCCGTTGGTAGGAAAGGGACAAAGGAGGGAACATTGCAGGAGTCTCAGCCAAGTTCCAGATGCAAATTTCCCCCTTCAGACAAAAGAGTTTGTCTGCTAGAAACAGTGTCTTGAAAGCTTTCAAGACTGGGGAAAACAAACAAACAAGAAATAATAAAAAGAAGAAAGAAAAAAATCAGCATCTCTAAGGGCTTTGGGATATGACCAGGCATCATATTTGCTGTGTCAATGTTTACCAGCTGATTGTGGCAGGCACATTATGGGCAGGGAGGAAGGCTGTGCCTGGAGAGACCATGAGAAAAGCAAAAAGGGCAGGAACAGGACATGGGACTAGAGAAAACCAGAACATCTAGGCTCCAATTAGCCAGGAGGATGGCAGGCACTGACAGCCCTTACATACATTCATCGCAACCCTAAAGCTCCCCACAAGAAAACCGCTTGGAGTCAAGGTTCCTAGATACCTCAAGGCCAAGGAATGAATCAATCACTACTCAGCACCTCATCTCTGCTCTTCTCCCATTCAAATACCTCTCCCATGCCCACCATCTCTCCATCCGCATCATTAATTTGAACCAAAACAATACTGCCGCCAAGGCAAGTTTCACTTCTTTAACTGCCACAGAAGAACGCCAAGCCTAGGACCTTGACTAGTACAGATCACCCACACACAGCTTGCCTGCAGCTGCCAAACATCTCACAGCCACCTTCTTCAGTTCAGCTCCACCCATCATTTTGCCTTAAGCCCCAATATAAAACCACAATACAATGCCTGGATGCTGTGGCCTTGAAAAAGTATTTAAGTCACAGAAACATGTAACCAAAGCTGGCCATGCTCACAGGAGCCTGCAAGTTCCTGACTGTGGGCTGCAGAAAGGACCTAAAGCCAATGAGCAGAATAGCTGGGGGCTGAAAAATGCAAGCAGCACAGTTTCTTTGACCTTTAAGATGCACTTGGGTAGGCTCTGAAGTGTAGTCGTCTCATGGGGGAAATAGACCAAACAGAGAAGGCGGCATAAAGCCAGGAACAAAAGAAATTTTGCATCAACGGCAATATACTACTGGATCCTGACTTACCCCCTTGGCTGTGCTAGACTGGACCTGCATTTATACAACCTACAGGGTCTCTCAAATACAGCAGGATTTAAACAAACACTTAAGAAACAGGGTATAGGGGAGAGGAGGGGGGTTCTTGGTTTTAAAACTTCTTAGGAAAAGAACTGCAAAAGCCACGAGGGGGGCAAAAGGCAGACTACATTAGCCTCCTTTCTGAGTGCAATGGAAACTTGCACTCATTTTACGTGTGACACAACAGCATTGGCTTATTCAGTTTCCCAGCTGTGCATGAGATGCAGCAGGTACCATTTCTTTGCTTGTTGAGAAGTGGGAAACAGACCTCCATTTTATAGCCTCTGGCCCAGTTGAGGCCTCCTCTCTGCTGCCTCACTGCATCGGAGGCAGCAGCGATGGACTGAAACCTCACAAGACAGCGAGCTCCCTTGGGCAGCAGCTGCTGATGAGAAAGCAGATGCTCCCCTTCTGGTGCCCTTCCAGACATGGGACGCCGGGGATCCCAACGTGCTATGGGCACGTCCTGGGAAAGTGATGCCAAGGGCCAGTCTGGGATCCCAAGGTGCTACCCGTGCTGCCCAGGGAAAGGGATGCCAAAGGCCAGTCTGGGACCCCAAAGCGTTATGGGCACTGTCCCGGGAAAGTGATGCCAAGGGCTGGCCTGGGACCCCACGGTGCTACCTGCACTGCCCAGGGAAAGCGATGCCAAGGCCCGGCCTGGGGTCCCAAGGCGCTACGGGCGCTGCCTTCCACCTTGCGCGCCCAGCATCCCCCTTTCCTTGCAGGGCCGCCCCGGTCCCGCGCGCACTCACCTCCGGTGCCGGCCACCCGCAGGTCATTGCTGTTGCCTTCGTAGGTGAACAAAGCCCTGAAACAAGCAGCACGTGGAGACAGCTCAGCCAGGAGGGCATCCTGGGCGGCCCTGCCCCCCGGCCCCTCCCCGGCCCCGCACGGGCGCGGCGCGGCGCGGCGCGGCGCTCCCCAGTCGGTCGCG